CATCGAATCGGCAAAGTACCCCTCCGTAGAAACGGTCCACTTTGGGTCGATAACAGGGTCAACTCCTGAAGCAACGAACCCCTGCCCCGGATTCTTCCTAGAGAGAAAACGTGTCCACCGTGTGTAAATTTTAGTTGTTTTCAATTTTTGTTTTTGTTTTATAAGTTCAAGGTATCTTAGACGAGAAGAGTCGGAGGAGATTGAAAAAGAGAACCATTTAGACAGGTATAGGATGATAAGGTCATTTGGGATARAATGGGTCAATCCYCGGGTATAGACTAAGTCTGATCATCTCCATCTTCATTATATTCATAAATTGTTTCACGGTACCCGTTTAAATTATTCACTTCAAAATACAAGTGCTTTTAACATTTGGATAGGCAAAAGGTAGAAACTGAACAGCCATTTTCCTAATCTCAATTAGGCATTAACCACTGTCCTTTGCAAGCATCCTTTTACCTACCTGCACATGACGCAAAGAAAACAAGTTCCCCTGTACAATCCCATGCTCAAGTCATACTTTTCCATTCGCATGCATGACTTGCACAACGTTCCTCTACCTTTTCTTTCGAACATTCAAAACAAACAAGGTCAAGCAAAGTGTGGGTTCACACAAATGTAAAAGGAAATCTGAGTCAATCAATTGACCTTGAGTGAAGTTTGAATCGGCTCACTAAAAAAAGTCAAGTAATATCCCAATCGTATAAAAAGATAATCGTCGTTGAAGCCCAAAATATGCGGCCCACAATTCCACAACTTGTGGTCATTCCACTAAGTGACAGTCCGCCTCCTTGAATCACAGCGTCCGCACAAAACAACCATTAACTTCAAATTAATCCCAACTAATCCAAAGATGGTCCCACGTGGTTCCACACTCTCGCTTGCAACATCGGTTGGGTCCCAAACACCAATACCGCTCGCACCGTGCATCGCAAAAGAATAAAGGTGGCCCCAGGTGAAGCAATGTCGTTGGTCCATGCACTACTGCGTGATCCCAAAATGGACCAGCAATGCTCATGCTACATCTAGACCACACCGGTTCACTCGAATAGTCGCCGTCAGACTTGCATCGTTCCTCAAAAAAATAAACCGCGCTCCATGCCGCCACCGTACAATACTACTGCGACCGCAACTCAAAAAAACGGTTACCATCGTGCCG